TTTTTATACTGAAGTTATCAAATTAGAATCATGACGATTCCATGGCATACAGTGACAACATTGATCAAAGTTATTAAGACAGTCACTGACAACCCAGTCCCAGTTTAGTCATACGGCCATGGGCACGGGGTACATATTCTACCCGGGTATACCCACAAGAACTGTTCTACCCGGGTATACTCACATTCTACTAGGATATACCCACAGCCACAGTAATACTTACTTAGTATTGTATTTGAATACATACGTAGGTTTTATTTGTCACAGGTTTGCAATGGAAATATTTAAATATTCTTACACTATTGTAAACGACGTTGAAAAGTACATTTAACTATTAAACTAAAAACAGTTTAAAAGAAGGGAGATGAAAGGTATGTATATCTATATGCGTATGCACGTGTGTGTGTGGATGTTTATTATTTCAATAGTTGTATTTTTTTCATTATACAACTGTACAATGAGAACCTGTTTTGCTGAAATAGTATCTGATCTTACATCAATTACATTTCCCTCTCCAAGGAAACCATTTATGTCAAAACCCTCATCGTCCTCTCATCGTCCCTCTCATCGTCCCTCTCATCTTTCCTCTCTCCCCATCATTTCGACAAACAGGTACATTTGAAAACACCCTCAGTCAAATTTAGAGTATATTTATTCTCCAAGTACATGGATACTATCTGTCCGAACAAACAAACCGTCGCTACCCCTGACGTAACACTGGTTTGGGAAGGAATCAATTAAGTTGACTCTAAAGCCAGGCTCTCTGTTTCGAGTGCTTACACGCGACCAAGTTGGAAAGCATATTGTCGGCAGGTTCAAAACAGGTGCGCGCAACTTTGTCGGGGGGCGCTAATGGTCGGCAGATGTTAGAGGGGCGGGTGACCTGCCTTCTGTCCATGTTTATAAACACTTGTTGAAGTGACCACTTGACCTCCAACCGAATTGTGATCTATTGCTACTGTCATAAAATGTTCCCACTGTTCATCTGATGATTAAATTGTCATCAGTTCATGTGTGATGCTGTGTTTCACTTCATTTGAGGAGCATCATTTGGGTGGACAGATTCAGTTCTTAAAACTGACCGATAGAAAGGGGGAGAATGGTGTATCTGCCTTGTCAGGTACATCCAAAGACTGCTTTCGAATTGAGATACTATATTTAATTATCTATTTCATGAAAACATGATTGATTGTATTTTGAAATGGGTAATGTACCCTTTGTGAAGCAGCAAGAACTACCCTGAACATCACGCGGATGGACAGTCGTTTGGTTAAACTCGTCGATAAAAAGGGGAAGAGTGGTGTTTTTGCCTTGTTTTGTATTTTTTTATGAAAAATAGTAGAAATGAGCTTAATCCTTGTCCATTATGTGTGGATGTTGCCTGGTTTTGTCTGTCATGTTTGTGAAAAATGCACCCATGCTGTATCCTGATTTCAGCTCTCCCCATTCTTTTTGTTTGTGCAGGTCCCTGGCTGCACAGGTATTTTCTTGTAACAGGTACTCAAGAATAAAGATGTCAGTAACAAAAAGGGCAAGGCTGATTACAGGTACATATAATACAACAAGTGTTTGATATAATGGTTTGTAAAATGTCTTGCAGGCATATTTGCTTTGGTTTTTGCGCTTGATTTATTTGAATCGTGTCGACGAGTAGATTTAAAATCGACCGATAGAAAATGGACAGAATCCTTACCGGTAAAGCAATAAGTGTATTGTATATAGGTATAGAGAATTTCTAGATAAAAGGTGAAATGCATTCAAATACTTAAACACATGAAACGTCGAACTCGCTGGTTGCACACGTCATGTAGAAAACACGTAGTGCCACCATTGCAATCATGTGTAGGTCGGGAAGAAGATGCTGTTCCCATTCAGCATCGTTCTTTTCATCTCAGTGACAAACGTGTTTACAATGCCTCTACCTTTTTTTAAATTGATTTCGAATCTAGTATAACTTACATGTCTCGCAGGGACATTAAATATTTATAGAGACCGTATTCTGCTAAATACCAACTTAAGGGCAAACAAGAAAATTACTGGAAACAAACTATTTCGCCATGTTTAAAGACGCGCACCAGAGTAGAAATTCCTGGATGTCCAGCCTTAATTCTTTTCTTTATTTGGTGTCAAACGTTCTCAATTGGTTTACATTTGGCATTTACGACTTGATTTGGAGCTATTCAGTCCACGCTAGTTGCTGAATACACTAGCTGCATCCCCGATCTCCATCCCATATAGTCTCTTGTCCGCGACTTTCAATGGAACCCTTCTTCCACAAAATCGATGTAGCGAAGAGATTCTATACCGAAGGCTTTCTTGCATAAGTTCACCCCATGCAGTAATCACGGCCAGCATTACCCCGTAATCCTAAACTCGTTTTCCTAAAAAAGTTTTAAGCCCTTGCGGGTATTTCAATACGTGAAATGGACACACGCCGGTTTTAATCCTTTATAAATGGCACACGCTCTCCCCGCTTATTGATGTCATAAGGTCATTTCCGATCCGTTCAACCCGACTAATTTCTATTATGGCTGTTTTCGATTCGCCATGGTTTAAGAAAACTTTCTGAAAGCCCCAAACCACTCTTTATTATATTGTCCAGTAACAGGTGGCATTGAAATCCAGTCTGCGACAGGTGCCCGTGTGCCCACCGTGAACACCCCTTGACCACTCAATCACTGACCACGTTGAAACCATACTACCTCTTTATAACGCGTTATCATACCCCAGATTTATGGAACACCGAATTATGCTTCACTTACCTTATCCTATCGAAACAAAAGGTATTATATTGAAAACTATACTTGTTCAAGTATGGTAAGTTATTTACACACGCGTTTTAACGAGGGAGACATGATGTTTCAGCGAGCAGATGTGTTAAAGAGCGTCAGGCGACGGAAGTACGCAACATGTGTTTAGGCCAAGGCGACCAAACTGTTGATTACAACGCGAGATTGGGTAATAGTATTAACAGCTTGTAGGTAAACTCAGGGGAGAGTATGTATAACAATATCAACCTTAATCATCAACATAATTAGCAGGATTGTAAGAAAGTAACCTAACTTGAGAAATCCGCTGTCGACTGTGATGTAATTCCGCATACGGTCTAGGACACAGCAGATGTCGACATGTTTTTCAGCATGTGCATTCTTTGTGGAGATCGTTGACACAATAATTACTGAGGAATGTGATAAGTGGACCAGATACAGACGTCAATTGAAACTGGTCGGTAGATGAAAATATTTATTGACGTCAATCTGTAGTTTGTTTAGTTTCCTCAAATACCCGTCGTCTATTGAAATAAGTAAAACTTTTGTAACCATTTATAATAACATGAGGCACACGTATATGACCGTGTTTTAAACCTGCTAACATTAAGATTCTTATGAACTATTAATATTAGTAACCATGAAGAATACATTGTTGGAGTTCCCTGTTATACGTAGAACGCAAACGAAAAGCGGCTTGAGTGAAGTAAAGGAAATCGCATTATCTGGTCAGCGCACGCACACACACACACACACACTTCAGAGTTTCTTAAGCGATACATACTACTACTAATAATGGTGAATTAAAACCTTGGTCCTGTGCCTTGCTAAGCAATATCAGGCGTCCTGTCCTTATGCTAATATATATAAAAAAAGAAATAGGACATTCTGTTGGGATCACTGTGATGCAGTGATAGTCTGTATGCCTACACCGGACAAACCAGTGATCGAGGTAACTCTGGACCCTCACCAAACATAGACCCGTTGTGACCCAATCCTGACGACCAAACTGCAAACTATCATCTTCTCGGTTTACGCTACCTAAGTACAGATTCTAGTACTTTTGTTGGGTCGAGTCTCATCCGGGATTCGAACCCACACCCTCAGGCACCTAATCGCCAACACACAAAGTCAGCCGCCTAACCCACCCAGCCATCGCAGCTTCAACAAAAATGGAAGTCGGACAGCAGGACTTTGTGTATCCCTCTGATGTAAAATAGCACGGCTCCCACGGCCGAAAGCCGACTCGGAGGGTGTGGGTTCGAATCCCGGATGGGATACTTGAATCTTTGTCAGCCCGACAACTTTTCAAGTACTGATCAAGAACCGTTCCCTCATCCCACAATGAGTCAGGTCGTCCGTAAGGTGGCGAAATGTGTAGTGAGCGTACGGTGTTGCATGACAACCAAGAGAAGACAACGGTCCCTTACACCAGATCCAACATCCTGCACAATACTGTGAGTGAGTAAGGGTTACCATTCTCCGACTACTCGTGAAAATCCCGTGCCCGAGATGAGAATCCACTGAGACAGTGCAGAATGCAGTTCATGCACCCGCATTTACAATGTACGAGCGTATAGGAAGTGTGACTGAAATGAACTGAACGAATGCGTGAATCTAATATATATACCAATCAAAAAAAGTAGGGGATTTACCATTTTGCTAGTAAATGCCAATGCATATGTAAGTAATATGTAAGTAATATACATGTATATCCATTCAGATGAAACATTTCCAAAGGAATGGAATAAATAAATTTCTCTTCATCATCTGTTTCCTCCTTGGCTTCATCATCTTGTAAATCCAATATCCCCTACTTTTTTGATGGTATATAAATATTTAGAACGCACGACACCAGGAGATATAACCCTCCAGATATGACTTCAGGCAACACACAACACAAGTTATGATCAATGAATTTATTGGTATCAATAACACAACTGGGTTGCACATGCACTAGAAATGTATCTGTACAATCTCCACATAAATTAGTAATATTAAGTTAGGTTCATATATACATATGTACACATATACAAAACAATAACAAAAATATTGCACTTTTTATCCACCGGTGGGGACGTATATCATATCGACCCATCGCGTTTCAGAAGCGTCCAGTGGTAAGGGGTGTTCATTCGGCACCAAGACTTGCCAGATTTCCGTTCCTTGAAAACCAGAAGTGATCCTTGGAGACTTGGCACTGTTCTTGGAGAGCCACTGAGAGATTTGGCACTAGTCATGGAGAACCTCGGAAGAGTTTGGCACTGTTCCTGGAAACCCACTGAGAGACTTGGCACTGTTCCTGGCGAACCACTGAGAGACTTGGCACTGTTCCTGGCGAACCACTGAGACACTTGGCACTGTTCCTGGAGAACCACTGAGACACTTGGCACTGTTCCTGGAGAACCACAGAGACACTTGGCACTGTTCCTAGAGAATCACTGGCGCTTATTTTCACAGACACGTGTTTCGGCACTGATGAATGCTAAGGGTGTTGCTAGCACATCTGGTTCATTTGTTTACATGAAGGATGGAGAACTGGACATCAACGACCGCCTCACTCGACCACGGCTCTCTCCGGCGCTCCACGACTTGGATTTTACCCGGAAGTGACGTAGATCTGCAGCGTGTGCCTCATGGTGCATGGGCTTGTAGCCGTCGGGCTCACAGTGAGTCTGCAAACAAACATAGAAATTATAAATAAGGAAGATGCAACATATTAATATTTTAGTAGAAGGATCGGGTAATTTATCTCGTAGGAAAAAAAGAGAAAAAGATACGCACCCTGGCAATGCTGGTGTTGTAGAATGCCTTATAGCCGCCAGACAAGAGGTAGACTTCCGGGTAGAACAGGAAGGGTAGCAGTCAGCATTCAGCTTCCGGTCAAGACCTCGCAAGTGACGGATCCTGAAATTATAAAATTTCTGTTGTAGGAATGTGGGAACAGAGACAGGGGCCTTCAAATATGTGGGGATCCAGGTTTCCTCGTATATATAAGATATTGTATTCAACTGTATGTTTCGTCAGTATCGGCGGTACTTACATCTTGGGTGCTCTGTTGGAGGAAAACTCGCAGTGGAAGACGAGGATGTGTCTGCCGGTAGAGTTGTGACGATGTTCCTTCACAAGCTTCTCAACATCACATTCGATGTACATGTTCTCAGCGCCCTGGGGAACACAGAATGCAGAAATATTATAGAAGATTCCGATGATCAGTGGGATTCTCATATTTAGATGGAGAAGTGTACAGCTTTTAGAAGTTCAGGGATTTGCGCTATTTACCTTGATATGACCGCCTTCAAATTCGTACGGGTAGCGGCAGTCGATGACGCGGTACGAGGAGATGACGTCACGGTAGTCACCGTTCAACAGCCCGCACATCTGGATTGGAAACATGACGCTTGTACAACAACAACAACAAAAATCTTAACTTAGAACTGGAATGCATAAGAAAAAGACGATTAATTCTAGTACCCAATTATGTCGAAGCGAAATATGCTGATGTCGAAGGGAAGTTTCATATGGCTATGTCAAAATGGATTATGATCGAGGTGAACTATAGTGATGTGGTTTGACACTTACGGTGGAAGGAGTGATGCACTTGAGGTCCTGATGCTTTCCGTCCTGAACAGTGGGCAGCACGTGATTCTAAAATATAGAGAATGAATCACATGAATATTGCGGCTGTTTGACGTTACCAGTTACTTTTCAATGGCGTCGATAATATTTTACTTTATCGGTCGAGGAAATGTTCTGGGAAACAACAGTCGAAACATGGTGTTACCTGGCTACCGTCCCCGATGAGGTCTCCCTTAATCTCCAGTTTGTCAACAGCTCTCTTCACGCGTTCAGTGAGTGGGTTGCAATGACGGTTTTCTTTCTCTGGTTGCGGGGACAGGAACATCTGGAAGGGGAGGCAAAGACGTTATATTGATGCATCATCACCACGACGGCAATACTCTGGATTTGGGGGAAATCCGTGATGATCTTTACCAATTACCAAAGAATAGACTTACCGGTCCGTGTCGAGCATTTCTGTGTCTCTTGGATGCGCTGCCTTCCCCATCTTCTAATCTGCTGCGCTTTCCCTTGGATGGTGGGGTGAGCTGACTGTCGGCTCCGAACAGGCACCGGCGGGACGACCTGTCACCTTGACCACCTGACTGCTGGGGAGGGAGAAGAAAAGGGCGTGGTCAGATACTTGTCAGGACGTTATTAACTATGAAATATAAATATATTACAGGGTGACTTGGGTAACTGAAATTATTTTAGGGATGAAAATAATAATAATAACATATTTTTACTAGTAATATTTATTCATGCATGATAAAAGCAAACACGTACCTGTGGAAAAGGGGACTCGATCCCGCTGTCCTTGGATTCCGAGTCGTCGGACTGTCCTGACTGACGCCTCCACTGGGCCGGGCTGTTGAGCACCAACTCCTGTAGGCTCATCGTCAGGGGAGAGCACTCGGGAAACTGAAAGCAGATAAGAAATATATAAATGAAGATCACAAAGTAAACATATGCATTTACAGTATCACATTGACAGTTACAGTACTCATGTTAACGATAATAAATAGATACATTCAGGATCATAATACCAGGGTGGCAGTCACATGACTGCAATATAAGTAAACTATTGTAGACACATTACGAACATATCTGAAACACTCTATGCAGATAATATACCAAGGAGAGTCATATAAGTACCTACCTTGAAATTCATGATGATTTGTCTAAAATATCCAAACTTTGTTCTGAGTTGCGAAGATGCCTCGATGAATGTCAGAATGCGACTATACCTCCAGATCGAGTTTCCGAGGGTTATATACTAACTGTAAACACTACAACAACACGGCCGTCAGAAGGTGAGAGAGGCTGAACTCTCCGTGTCTACGTGAGAGCTGGTCAGGAGAGACTGGTCAGCTCAACTGGACATCTAGAGCTCGGACAATGGGAATGACACGACCCGCTGCCCACTGACGTTTATACCTACCGATATACCTGGTTGTAATCACACAGCCATGTCGATTACAGCATCCCTGAACTCAGCTCACCTTGTTATGCGCACCCAAGCAGAACTGTTACTTTTTGCGCGACACATTGTCGGTAAAGTTGAAATCGAGAGGGGTAATTTGAAGGAGGGACCGCCATGATTTTTGTCAAGGAGCTGTGAAATATTTCATGTCCCTCCTCCTAATTACATTTACGATCATAACCCTAACAATTGTTTTAGTCGGTATTGTGATAACTATTAACATATGTTATAGCCGGTTCCGGTAGAGGTGGAGATAATGTTTAAAGAAGCATGGGGTTGTCTTAATGAATTAATGGTCTCATTTTATTAACGAATAAACTTGAGGACCGGAAATATTACTTTCCGGTAATAAAATGTCTTCTGTGTTGTAAACATATAATGACAAAAACAACTAAAGCAACATATGAAACTATTGTGAAAAACAGTAATAGTTACGTCACTTATCAAACTTGTAAATGAACGTAATATATGAGTGAAGGGTTAGTATATGTTGTGTGATTCAATTATTAGATAACATTAGGACCACAAAATATTGCACACAATGAGGAATTATGAAATACAATTATATTATCTTGTACAACATTTATCTTCAAATAGTACTCATTTGGGGGATACATAAAAATATAAAGATATCAATGTAACCCGTCTTAAGGTCCGTAATATAGAACAGTAACTTATGTTGTATTTGTTTTGTTTGTGTAAAACGTGATTCATTTCATTATTGGCGGGAATGTTTTATTTCATTATGCGGTTATAGAGACTGTTCTCTAAGAAAGAATACCCACAATCTACACCTAAGGATCTGAAGAGTGAATATACGACATGCGCGATGCGAACAAGGTAACTTTTTCGAGGAGTAATCAAGTAATGTGTATAGCTTATAAATAATAGTAGCAATTCCAATCTGTTTCACGTTGGTTTCACTAACTCACATGAAATCTATGTTAACACATTATTTATGTTTTGCATAAGCTCTGATCAGTCTTATTGTCCTGAGTTAGCTAAGCGGTATGGATTCAAGCATTGTACTTGTTTACCAACATCTGTTTTATTTTTTTTTCACTTGTGAAAAGTGAAAAAAAAAAAAAAAAAAAAAAAAAGCATCTGTTTTATTAGGAAATGAACCATAATGGCCAAAAATATTAGCTATAAATGGTTTCCCATTCGAAGCGATATTCTGTAAGACGTTAAACGAATACATCAAATGTAAATGTAGATATACAATTTACATGGATCTACCAATAATGTTTTTTCGTAAATGCTTCTTTTATTAAATTCACTGAATTGTTTCTTTGTAGTTATTTTTAACTTTAATATTGAGAATAACAAACACATTTGTTTATATATACTTATTGTAAACGTGCCATGATGTGTTGCTGAGTGTGGACACATACTGAATCAGTTTTTACCGCTTGGTCATTGTCACGCTCCTCGCTCGTGACAGAAAGCTGCGCTTGCCTTTAAATAAACACGATCACTGTCAAATAAACAACGCATCAAATTGTCACAACTCATAAACAAAACCCAATCGATAAACAAAGTCTGTGTAAACTACCCAATCTTTCATGTTTTTATGCTAAATCACTGCTTTTAACGTTCTCAATATGGGAAAACACTGACTCGCTTTCTACAACTGTGGGTATGTACAGTAAAATCACATATGAAACAAAATACAAGCCACTTTTTTAATGATTAGCAATGCTTATATTATTTTAATATTTTTAATTTTTTGTGTGTATTTTTCTAGAAATTTATCGATTAAGTATATTTCATCACCGCCAAAGCTTTCAGTAGCATTTTACTCTTATTTTGTGTGCATTCTATTTACAAAGGTCACCTTTACATATGTGTGACAGCTAACCGTCAGAATGCACCACAAAGCGTTCAGGTTGTCGCTACAAATTGATACAAGTTTATGTTGGCAAGTACACGACATGGGATCCATGAATGTCAGTTTACAAATCACAACATAGCTCAAGTTTGACATTATGCGATGATGTGGATTTCGCTGTCACTCAGATCACGCGAGTCAAGGCCGTCGTCCCAAGCTCGATGTCAGTGAGCATGCGCAATCATAATTAACCTTGACACGAGAAAACGAGTTGGCGTGCTGAAACCAAGGTTAATGTGTCATACCATGAGCTAAATTCAGGAAAAAGATATAATCATAGCATGTCAACATGACTTAAACTACAACTTGCCATATTTTGATTTGACTTTACAAGGAAATCCATACTCTAATTGCACTAGGGTGAAAACAACAAAGTAAGATCGAGTAAAGGAAAGCTGCAAATGACTTCAAGACATAAGTGGTTATAAAGCATATTGATATATACTGGATATTTTAAAAGAATAAAATAAAATAAGGAAAATAGTTATAAAGTCAAAGTCGTAATGTAAGGTATCTTATTTCGCTGTTGTTTTCATATTAAAATTTTCACATAAGAATTAAAACAATGCTTTTGTATTGATAAGTTTACGCGTGTTAAGTGCAAGTATATATCTATGTATGTGATTGTCCCCCCGTTTGTCAACAGAAAAGAAATATAATCATTAAGATATGTAATTAATTTGAGGACCTATAATCAATTCCATGCCATTTTTTTCATGCATATCGAAAGTTCATTTTACAAATCATATATTTTTTTTATCATGTAATTAATGAATATTTACATATATGTCATTTTGAACAGTCAGTCAGAAAACGGTATATTTGATTCACAGACACTGTCTAATTCCCACGGTCTCATCTCAAATGCTATTACTTGAACAGTTAAAAGAGTAAGGCAGTTTAACAAGTTGGAAAGACATGGTAAGTCAACAGTGAAGTAATTATCACCGCTCGCCATTCGTCCTCAGATTGAATAATTAAAGAGCAGGGTGATGCTCGTCCCCCGACTGTCTTGATTAACACCCGGCTCGACATGCAGGTTCTTTAATCAGCAGGGTAGACTGGCAGTTTTGGACTTTAACACTCGTATGAATGTAATTAATATTCATTTCTTTGTCCTAAGACTTTTATTTCTCCTTCTGGTGAATTAACTCAGTTTGCAGATACACAGGTGAAGTGAAGGGGGAGAGCAATTATATTTCTAACTTCAGAATCGACTATAATATTCTATATTCTGCTATTCAAATCTAAATTTAGGGATTACGTGATCGGCATTCTAAATGTTGGCGAGTAAATAGCGAAGCATAAACCTTCGCGGTTAACAGCTTGCACAGAGCAACGGTTCATGTAGATTCTCACAAAGTTTTCAAGTTAAACTTTTGCCTCGAAAGTCGCTCTATGCAATAAACAAAAGTAATCATCTAAATCGTATGTTTCGTTTCTTACTGTAGCCGGCTTTGCATTACAAATACCATCCAGACCCGACCAAGTGCATGTTGTCTAAAGGGAGATAACTCCTAAATTCCTTTTCGTTATTGGGTTTCACCATTTGTTTATACTTAACCCGAAATTGCTGAAATAAATCTATTTATTCATTACGCTTATTCACTTTAAAGAAAATAGTCTCATTAAATCATCCCGTTTTCACCGCTGAAAAAAATGCACAACTTGAATCATTATATTGAAAATATGTGTTAGTAAAAACGCCATGATCGATATGCAACAAGTAATACTGACTTAATATAAGTTGGATAGAAAAAACATTTACACGTTTATTTGATACATTAAAGTAACAAAAGACACGTGCATTAAGGGCAGCACTTCTGAGTCATATACAAATTAGGCTATTGCAGACCTATAAACGATGCGGTAGTAATTCATTCAATTAAATTAGGGCAATAAAACTAACTGGCCCTCCCATCCTATTCCCAGCGGCTGATAAAAATTAGCCCTATCCGCGTCGGTATTCATAGTCCCTTTGATATAAGTAATAAACGATTTACGACAGTAAAACTGTACTTGTGAACAGTTTCCACGAACAATCCTTTACAAGGAGGTTATACTCGATAATCAGCTAATGATGTTTATAATTCGCTTTTAATCGGACATTGCAGTACGTTTTCAACCTGCTTCTGAAGCCTACCCGCAGGCGAATTTCAGTTTAAGGCAATGTTGATATTTTACTAAAATGATGCCAAAGAATTTAAATTGGATAAAATTGGGAATATTTCACGCGCGAGGATGTAACATGAGGGCTATTTTTCTGCTTTTGTGTTGTAAGTTTCATAATTCGCGAAACTGATTGAGTTGAAATTTAACACTATATCGGCAATATTTCAGTCATAAGCGCTGACTAGATTCTAAAAATAATGCATTGAAAGATTAGTGATGATAAAAATAAATTTGGAAATATTTTAAACAACTCAAGCGAATAACAACCACGCAACCAACATCCATGTTTTAAAAAAAAAAATCTGTATCAACAACACAAAATTAAATACATTGTGTTTTGTTGATGGAGTAGTTCACAAATTTTTCATTTTAAGTGCACCCCAGTGCAACCCAGGGTTCGCAGTTATGGTATGGAAAAAAAAAAAATCTTACTGATTCAGGAAGAGAAACATACCAAGCGCCCCCTCCCTTCAAAAAACACCTTCAAAGACAACTAAAAGTAAGATTGAATTCAATGAGGTTTTAAAGTTTCGAAATTTTCATTTCTGGTATCCCGTGCTTCGATTTTCCTGGAATACTGCATCAAGCGGTGTAAAAGAATATTCACTCACTCACTCTACCTGTT